ACACACACACACACACACTCTCTCTTCTATTATTTATCGCTTCGATCGTCACAACAATATTTACGAATTTGACGTTTTCATAAATTCCTGCAAACACGTTCCGTTTGATGACGAACAGACAGAAATGGTTAACACACCACTTCCTGTAACACGTTACACAATAAAACAAAAACGCTGCCGGAGGATACGTCGGATGGTAAATGGACTTTATTTATACAGAGCTTTTCGAGTCTTATCGACCACTCAATACACTTACGGTACAAGTCACATTCACACAGCGCTTTCTTTTTTTTTTAAATCACACACCATTCACGCACCGTCGGCACAGCTGCCAGGGGCTGTTTGGGCTTCGGTAACTTCACATTGACACTTCAGAATGCAGACTGGAGAAGCCACGGATCGAACCACCACCTTTCAGGGTTAAAAGGTCTCCTGAGCCACAGCTGCCTGCAACAACCTCCACTTCTGTAACAAGGCTGGCCACAAACATTTTGAGCCAGGCAGCAGAGGCATAAACACAAAGCTGATATTTTGGCCTGAATTTCAGACGTTTAGGTCAACGTCTATTGGTCTTTAGTTTAAGAGGGGTTGATAATAGTTATAAAGCTCATATTAAGTGGTTAACCTGTCTCATCTGCTCTGTGTTGCTTTATGCAAATCTCTCTTCAGACAAAAAAACATCATTTGTCTCCATGTGTGCATGTTATTTCAGCTTGTCCATGCCAAGCTTTACAGGAATCTGCCACAGTTCCATCAATCATTACTGGAATTTTCATAAAATGACTGGTTCAGTGTAATTTTCCTGATCTGCAGCAAGTATTTTTCAATATATTGATGGGTTAAACCAAACAGAAGCAGCTAGAGAGATGGACTATATGGAGGAGGAATATTGTTGTGTGTCCTTTTGTCTATTTGCATGTGTGAGCGTGTGTGTTTGTGGATTTGTGTCAATCAAGCAGTTGTTCTTATTGTTTGCATTCCCCTCCTCTGTGGGGAGCGACTCCTCCTCATTAGTAATGAACCAGCAGCAGAGAAAAGTGCCAAGCCACGATCTGAGCCCAGATAGAGAAGATGAATATTTGATCTGCTCTCTCTTTGCTTTTGTGTAAGTGTGTGTGTCTCTGTGCATCAGAAAGACACAAAGCCCAGCAGGGTCAGCCCAAAGAGGACATCTTTCCATTTCTCTTCTCCCCCTGCCTCCCCGCTTTCCTTTTCTCACCTTCAACTCGCCCTGTGTCTTTTTTCCACATCATTCCCCTTCTTCGCCACAAATCTCTTTCCTTTCCACCTCCCTTACCCTCTCCTCCCCCTTGGTCTATTTTCTCTCATGACACCTTCCCCCTCTGCTGCTCTCTTTTACCATGTCTCCCTCTTCCCTGCTTCTAGGACTGTGCAGAAACAGAGGTGGACAGGAACAAGTGCTGTACCTTGTGTAACATGTTCTTCACGTCCGCCATCGTGGCCCAGTCACACTACCAGGGTAAAACCCACGCCAAGAGAGTGCGCCTGGTGCTGGGGGAGCCGCCCACCCTACCCACAGGCATGACCAGCCCCACAAACACAGGTATCTGCTACATTCTGCCCCTTTTGCAGGTTAAACTCACAATCAAACAAGCACTGTTGAAGCCAAAATTCTCAAACTGCTTTCAGACACACTGAAGTACGAGAATTTAGAGGTTGACAGAGGAAGTATTTGAGAATTCAAAAACTAGGAGAAAACAAATCTCTCATGATAGAAAAAAAAGTGCAAGAGAAGTAGAAAAAGCCAACGAAAATATCAACTTGGAAAGGCAACAAGATAAAAGAGCTTTTGACAATAAGGGCAGACGCCAGTGTTGATGTGCTGTAAACAAAAACATGAGATTTATACATCAGGCTCCAGCTCTCTCGTCTTACTGTTCGGGACATTTTGCTGCAGTTGTTACATTCCTCATACCTCACAGCATCTACAGAAGTCAAGGGTGTCAGTTGGTGCCTGTTGAGTTTTTGGAACCAAAGAGAATAACTATAGTCAGACTTGACAGGCTTAACCCCCTAATGAGAATGTGGTGATCAACTCTTTCAGCCCTATTGATAACCAATACCTCTATGGGATTCCAATCTTGATCTTTGCTCACAGAGCTTGTTCTCACTTAAGACGTGTGATTAACACTCACCTCCGCCTGCACACGCCGGTGTAATCCATACATACACTTTTAAATGACAAGTATCTGCACTGGGAGCTGTTCTTAGTTCAAAGCATATATTTTTTATCTGAAGTGAATTTGGAAAGCTTTAGTCATGCTTCAGTCAAAACGTCTAGCCCGTGTGGAAATGCTAACATGCCCAAGGTGCAAGAAGTAACTTTGAAGGTGAAGCATTTCATTTACAAAGGTCTAGTTATTAAAAAAAGAAATATCCTTAACAAATCAAGACATACTCAGACTGATTTTTGTCCATGCTCATGATTGTTTAAGTTTAGCGTTTCGTAAGTGTCTGCTGGTGAGTCGTCTCCAGGGAAGCTTTACATAATGTGATTCAAATTGGATTCACAGTGAAAATTCAAAGAGCTATAAACGCACAATCGCTACAAAATGGAGTGTTATAATCAAGCCCCTGAGTGACTTTTCCCAAACTTTGGCCTACTTTGGAAAAGTGTCACTTCTGCGCAGCCGTTGCCGTGGAGTTTTTGTGGTTTTGTGACAGAGGGACCTGGAGGAAAAGAAACAAGAGAGCGAGAACAAGGAGAGAGAAAAGAGTGACCTGGGAGAGAAGAGAAGGAGATTTCAGGAGCGATTAAAGTCAAAAGTAGCCTTCATGATCACTCTGAGATGAGCGCACCGCAGAAGATGCACAGCCGAGCTGACAGGCTTGCGCGCGCAGGCACAGAAACACAAAATGCACACACAACCATCGGGAATATACATAAGCAGGATGACTGATGCAAGCATATTCACATGGACACTAGAGAAACACTTTTACACACTACTCTGTGAGGAGACAGAAAGCACAGGTGGTGGAGGAGCCCTCCAGAGGTGGAGAGCTGAGACTCTACTTTTGTTCCCTCCACTTTCGCACATCACACACAGACGCACACCACCACCTCCTTATACCGCTCACACACACACAGTCACACACACGCTGTCACGCACACTGCCTGTGAAAAACACTTACTTCTGCTCCAATGTGCAGAGATCACAGTCATGAGAGGAGAAAATACATCAGAGGATAAGTCACTTGTTGTCACGTGTTGTCCCACAGAGCTGTCAGAGCTCAGGAACTTCCCTCTTGCGAACACACACACACACACACACACACACACACACACACACA